AACTCCAATGAACTCGCAAAATATATACATACATAATGTTACACACGATTTCTTCTTTTGTCTCTTTCTCCTCATAGACTTTATGTAAATACTATATTAAAGAAAATTTTTCAAAGGGGTTCCTTTGACACTTTAATGCCGCCTTTTCACCACATAAAACCAAATTTTTTTCCATTTTCCAACTGCCACTTGACATACGTACGTACATACAAAATAGAATAAAGTATAAAGTAAAGAATCATCGTAACACGAGCGAAATGCTTGCTAAAATGTGTCACATACACAAAATATTATGTTCCTAGGGTATGGCAGAAAAAAATTGGGGAATGAAAGAAAACAAAAAAAAATAATAAGAAAAATGTGTTTTTTTCTTTGTTGAATGCAAAAATTTTTTTTCCACTCTCAATTCCGCTCGGTTCTCTTCTTTTTTTCGCAAGGAACATTGTGAAATTCTGACACATGACAAAGGTACAACAAAGTTGCTGCTCGTTGGTTATAATTCAAGACAGATTAAGTGAAAGTTTTATTCTGTAAAATAATTTTGGGAATTGTGTTTAGAATTTATTTGACATCATAGAAGTTATTGTATATCCTGCATGATGTTCTACAGTTGTCTTGCAAGCAAAACGACAGCTATTGTTTAAGGATGAAACACTATGTAAACCACGACACATTCAACAAACTATTTAATTAAATTATTTTTCTTGAAGTTTCTTTAAAAAGAAAAAAAAATATTTTAATTAAAATTTTATTTTGTTGAAAAAAGTTTTTTTCTTTAATATTCAAATTAAGGTTGAAAAAGTATTTATAAAAATCTTGGAAAATGAGCTTTTTCAGCGATTTTCTCTTGCGTAAAATTTTGTTTCTTTCTAATTAAAGGCATTGGTTTTTGGTTTTAAGATGAATTTTTTTTTTGTTTTATCTTCGTTTGCTTTAATTAATGAAATATTAATGATGGAAAATAATTTAAAAGGAATTAGAAAACCAACTTAGATATTTATGAATATTAATGTTCACTGTTGAGGAATGAATTTTCGTAGTCATTATGATTTTCAGATAATTTTTGCGGTAAAGATTAATGATTTTTTGAGAAGAAAAACTTTTCATTGTATGTTTTTATTTGATTATTATGATATTGATTGAGTTGATGATGAATTGTGAAAAGTTTACAGCTTTAATTTATAGATTAAGTTTTGCGAGGTTGTTTTTAATGAGAAAAGTGATGAAAAAAGATTTGGAGCTGTTTACTTATTACGTAACGCAATAACAGAAAGTTTATTCTAAGAGACTTTGTAGAACTTTAAATATTTTTTCCCAAAAAGTCTTCATTAAAATAAATAAATTATTAATAGTTCTCTAGAAGCTTAAGAGTAGCTCAATTCTTCAACATAAATATTTTTAAGGTAATGTTAAGAAATATTGAAGGAGAAATAACTCTTTATAAAGATTATAAAATATTACAAGAAAAAAAGGGTTTCCAAAAAGGAGATGAAATTTTCAATTTCCTGTCCTTGATTTAGTAAACAACATTCTTAAATGGAACATATAGACTTGACTCATAAGACCTCCTTTTTCCTCCCATTTCTGCTGCTTTATAGCTCATGAAAACAATCGATATACCAAACCCCACCCAGCCTCTTTCATTTTAGTTCTTATTGTGTTCTCAATGACGACAGGAAATACAGAAAGTCTGAATCGCAATCAGCACAACAGTCGAGGGAGAGAAAAAATTGAAAATTAAATTTTTTGATTTTTTGTGTCACAACTTTTTGATATTAATTTATAACAATAACTGATATTGAAGCTTTTTAATAAAAAAAATATTTAAATTTGCAAAAAACGAGTTGAAATTCAACAATTGTAAGCACAAAAAACTTCACGCACAATTACACATAATGGAAATCATCAAAAAAAAATCTCAAATAATTTTCATCAGCAAAAATTCAATCAAATTTAAATTTTAATAAACCTCATTATTCAAAGTGTGGCTTGATATTTCCCAAAAATTTAAAATTTTCATGATTAAATGCCACAACTGTGAATTGTGCCAAACACAATTTTTCAGTTAATCAAAATAATGATTTAACGTTCTGTAATGATGAAGTATTATTCGATATTTCATCCCACTTCAAACAATTTCGCATCAATAATTATTCAATAATATTTTCCGCTTATGTGAGAGTCATAGAAACAGTTTTATGCATCAATTGTGTTCCTAGAATTTTATTTAATCATCGAAAATTAATTTGCGATTATTTAATAAATGAAAAAATAGGAAACAATTATTGCTAATGGAAAAATATTGCAGCTATGGCTTCCTATAATATTTAACAAGGCGTGGAAACTATCCCAAATATCCCATTTATCCCATATATCCCAAAAATATTCAAAATAATCCCAGAGTCTGAATGCATTAGAATTGAGATATCCCATCATATCCTGAAATTACACGTTTAATAAGGATACGTTGGGATATCTTTATTATCGTGCAAACATGCTCAGGAATTTTTTGAATATTTTTGAGATATGTGGGATAAATATGATATTTGGGATAGTTTCCACGCCTTGATATTTAATTTGCACTTAAAATTTGAAACAAATTCATATTTAATTAGCTATTGAATGTATATTACTTAATAATAGAAATTATAGAGTTAATAATAGGCTGTACATGTTGTTGACTCTTGTGGCACAATCATTACAAACTATTATTCATTTTAGAGATGAAGCCACAAAAATCGATGACAGATGGGCAATTAAACTGGCTTTTAGAGCTAGAATCAACAACAAGTCGTCCTGTTGATTAGATTCATCATTATCTAGACATGGAAGCAAGAGCTTCAGTCTTGTACAATCCTTAACTCAATACTTGCTTACTTACTTTCTGTAAACATGTTCTTTTGTGAAGCTAAGGTTACAACAAAAGGCTTTCTATCTGACTAGGAAATAGCCTCAACTCAGGAACTACATTTATTACCATTTATCTATACAGTCACAAACCATGTCCTTTAATTAAACCACCAGAAACCCATCCCTTGCTTCAAATAATAAAACAGGATTTACTTCATCTATCATATTTCATTTCTAATTCAAATTTCAAGACATTAAGCAAGTAGAATAATTTCCCAACCATAAATTTCTACTTACATTCCATCTACAATACTTTACTAGACCACTTTTAAGCTGCATGAATAATTTCATTTGCTTCTCTTTTTTTTGATAAATTTCGTTGGGTTTTTACGACAGTTAATTGAATTTTTATGCCCGACTACGAAGCTCTTAACTTTAAAAAAAAACTTAAATTCATCAGGCTTGATGAATGTCTAAAGGAAAGATGAAATAAAAAGAGCATAAAACCCGCAAGAGAAACGACAAGAAAAGAGAATAAGAAATTCAGTTGATAATCCTTCAAAAAAAATATTTTCTTCCTTACAAATTACGAGATATGAATTTTTTATGAGTCATTTAAGCGCTCTTATCCTATTATGTAATTATTCAGTCAGTTTTACTGTAGCATACTAAACTTAGACTTGGATTTACTTTTTGAATTCTTATCAGGATGTTTTCAAATTAAAGATTCATGATGATGAAAATTGGAACATTTTTACAGATAATAAATTGAAGATTATTGATTTTTTTGGACATGAAAAATTTAGAATTCTTTGGACATGCCAAAAGTTTTCAATTATCTAAAAAGAAACGACGCAATCTGCAGTAATCTTTCGTTGTCATCTCAACCATGAATCATATGGTCATTAGTATCATTATAAGATAAAATCTGCCTACATATAAGAGCCTAATAAAGCTATTCCGCTGCTAGCTTTTATATAAATAGAATCATCAATTTAGCAAAGAAATGTTAGATCAATGTCAAGGGTTAAGTTCGTGTGCTGACTTGAATATGAAGCTCCATAAATTGCTGTTATTATCTTCATGCACAAGTTGGCTTCTGTATCCGCGAATGAATTTAACCTTGCTTGAATTTTTGTTTGCAGACAAAAATGAAAAATCATTATGGGATCGTTCGCTTATGACGTCCGAAAATAACGGTCATTTTTCAAAAGAGAACAATGGATTACCAGGAATTTCTATTGTTCTTTTCTTGCTGACCCCCCCCCCCCCTCCCCTGGACGTCATAAGTGAACGGCCCCTATTGCATTGTTTTTGAATTGACTTCTTTGCTACAATCGACATTTCCTGATCTGAACCTTCACTCAATTTAGAAACTTTGATGTCATCTTAGTGGCGACGTGCTTCGAGCAAAATGTCAACTAATACAGCAAGAATAACACAAGAAATTGACAATGTTGCTTGAAATGTACAACAAAACAGGGAGCAGAACTTTTTTGTCCTCGAATCTTTAGTAACTGGAGTAAATTTATGCTCAATACACCCGGAAAGAACATCAGAAAGTTTTTGAAAGGATAAAAGATTCTTAAAATTATCAGAATTGGTCCACTGGGATGTCCATCTGATTAGCATTCGATAGGTAAGTAAGTAGGGGGATTGGAAAAGCCGAAGTCTGACTCCGAAGCTGACTAAATGTCAAAAGTATACCTTCTCGTGGTATCCCCTGATACCGCTAAATACACCGCTAGTGACCGAGACCTGTACCAGAATATGTACTTGAAAATAAAGATTAAAAGCCTATCCAAACAAACAATCTCACCTGGAGGGTAGTAGCCCCACAATCAGGCTAGGAATGGTAAGGTTTACAACCTACCATTTATGAAATCAACTTGTACAAATAATGCAACATAAGGTAAGTAAGTACTTACCTATTTACACTTTTGAATGCACATGCTGTTAGGACTTGAAAGTAAACTATAATATTGTAAGATTTACTTGACTTTTTCAAATAATGGAACAAATTTTAACTCAACAAACATTCAATGATAACTGCGATGATATTTCTTTTGAAGGTAATATTATTGATTGTATATTTAACAGAATAGGCAATTAACCTTTGAAGGAGTTTTGTTGCCTGAATCTTTACTTACAATTACTAAGTTTGAGATAAAATGATGACTCAATTAGCTTTAGCTATTTTACATATTCATGATTCTAATTTCATCATTACACAAAGCTTTACTAAGGACTAGAGTCCTCATGAAGATCCACACCAGTGCAATATCTGAACTAGGGTTCTAAAAGTATTTTTGTTTCCATATAGACCAACATTTTGACAATGCCGCATCTAATCAATTTAGCTACAGCCTGGCACATAGTCACCCTACCAAACTAAAGTCACGATTTGATTCTATATTACAACAAAGATATTGAAACATTTTCAATTTAACCAAAGGGTGCTCTACGTAAGGATCATTTGAATGAACTGATTCTGAATGAGAAAAAAAATATGAGAATCTAAGCAAAAAAAGCTCATTTGAATAGTTTCAAAATCAGTGGGATGAAAAATTCAAAACAAAAATTATTTCAATTGGCTCATGCTCATCATTATCATAGCATTCATTGCTTTGTTCATTCAACTTGAAATTCTTATTCAACGAGTTTTTTTTTTAAATTCATCGAATAGCATCCATGGGAGATATTAACTTTGTAAATGTAGTTCATATGGAACTGACAACACGAAAATGATACTTTTCTTCTTTTAATCCCTAATAAAAGCAATCCGTTGCAAACAAAAAAAGCAACCATTCCATGAACTTTATTTCATATTCTATGATTTGTTCGCAATCATCGTTACATTTTCCTTTAACAAGCTTTTGTGCTATTTCATTATTATTTTTTTTTTGTGAAAAAAACTTTTTGCTCTGTATCTGCTTAAACAAATTACTGTGGCATGTGGATAGAGGAATCACAAACACACACAGTTGGGTTACCAACAGCATCACTATATTACTTCATACACAGCTTTTTATAAGGTAAAAATTTGTTGGTTCACATCACTTCACATACAGTAAATGAATGAGCAGTTTGTGCATTTTCTCACCTCAATATCAATCAAACATAACGTATGGAAGGTGAGAAAATGGGAGGAGATAGACAGCTAGTCCATTCAATGAGATTTATGTTTACAATTTATAAGAACTTCTGCTTTATATCAATTGTGGGGATGGGAATGAGAATTTTTTTTTGTGCTGCTTCCCTCATCACACAATTGACCTTAACCTTTCATAACATTTTATATGTATCCACATATTTTTCCGGTACTCGACACACATTTGTGACCACGATTATGTGAAGTTTTTTGATATTTTTTTTTACACTATAAGTGATGCTTAATCTTTTTATTTCTCTGTAAACTTTTTATATATAGTTTTCTATTGGTTTGGATGATGACGACCCGAGTGATGTAGACATTATGCGGGTTATATGGAGTTCTGACTGTTTATATTTGGGATGTGAACAAATGAAGGAAGTCGGTAATATGATTAGTTTTATATAATTATAAAATTTTAAAAAACCTAGTTTGAATTTTCAAAAACCGTTAATTTTTGAAAAAAAATTATTTAATTTTAGAACTTTTTTGAATTTTTAAAAAATTTGAAATGTTTTTCAAATCATATTGAAAACATTAGAATTTTAAATTTAAAAAAAACTGTTGAAATTTTGAATTTGGAAAAACAATTAAAATTTTGAGGTTTAAAATAGATTATTCAATTAATCTTTTCATTTTTGCCACAGATCATTTTTTTTCAAAATTGTCAGCACCTTTCGACCATTGTAATTTCAAATTTTATTAAAATCGTTGAAAATTTTAAATTTAAAAAAACATTAAAATTTTAAATTTTTAAAAAGCGCTGAAATTTTGAATCTTAAAAAACCGTTAAAATTTTAAATTTCACAATAATTGAATTTTCAATTTAACTTTCAATTTTTGACACCAATAATTATCGAAACTGTCAGCACCTTTCAACAACATCTCCATGATGGGACACTTAAATCCATGTTGAATATTCCAAAGCTAATTGATTAACATCCATCACTCGGGTCAACAAATAAAAGGGAACAAAAAAACATTAAATTACCAATTTAAGAGTTAAGGATATCGATTTTGTTTGTTGGCACTTAAACACACATTTGACTTCTCGTTCAAGCCGTTGATAATTTTCTCTTTTTTTCAACATATAAAATTTTATTTAATGTTCAATCTTTTGTTTGCTTCTTATTCTACTGCCGCTTATTGTCCTTGTCGCCTTGATATTATTATATTTTTTTTGTTCCTAACTTTTTCTTTTGCACATATAACACCACATAACATCTATATGCTATTTTCAGTAGATATATAATTTTATTATAAGAACATCACACAAAAAAAAAATAACAATCTATACACACGACAATGTCACACATATATGATGGGATATAAGAAAGTTTTTAACGCTTATCATTAAATGTTTGTAACTTCTTGTCTTTCTCTTTATTATTTTTATTTTTATCCTACTTTCCAAATTCCTAATGCACAACAAGACTAAGAAATAAAATTGTATTATTTTTTTTATGACACAATACTTTCACACAGCATGCAGCTTGATGAATAGATCCGCAAGTAATAATACTTCAACATTTAAATAATGTTGTATCGTTTCTGCTCCTCGGGAGCTGCCCGCGCGATAGACGAGAAAGATTATGTTGAACTGATGCATAAAAAATATATTTTTCTTTCACAAGCCTCCCGATATACATATTTTTTTTTCTCCTTTTCCTTACACGCTGTTATCAGTTCCCATTCATTCATATTCATTCCATTCAAGTATTGTGCTTTTGCAATGAGATTTTGTGAGAGGCGAGAGGAAAATTGTTGAGAGCATCAATATCGCGCCCAGTCAAATTGTCATTCTTTGTTGGTGCAAAATAAACTTTTCGTGAGAGAGAAAAATGCTTTTAATTTACATCGTGGAAGAATATTTACTTCCAATTTGTGACATGCGCGGACTGGAAGTTCGAAAGTTTCGAATGATTTTGATCTACAAACATTATTGTTGTGCTGATGTTGATGATTGTTACATCGTCTGGTGTGTGAGAGAATTTTAGGATTATTTTATTTGAGAGAGGAGTTTGAGAGAAATTTTAGATAAATGAGAGCGGGTACAGGATGGTTGAAAAGGATGCACAGCTTTGGGACGGAAAATAACGAAGAATTTTCATTTAATTTGATTTGAAATTATTTTATACGTTAAGAAAATTGGTTGGATTTGTTAACATTTATGCTTTGATATTGAACATTTCATGCTAACTTTAAAGCAACAAGCTAAAATTCTTTCATTTCTGATGTCAAAAACTCAGGAAGAAAAAGACGACGTTTAAAGTTTTGAGGCATTTAACTCTAGAATTCAAATTTCAAAAAATATTCTGTAACAGAAGACTAAAGAATGCTAATAATATAAAATCATGAGAGACGGTTGCTAGGCATTAATTCTTTAATTGAGTCTTAAAAGTTGAACACCTTAAAATGCAGTAAGAATTCTATCTTCTTTAAGATTCATGCTAAAATCATAACCTTCAATGAAAGAACAATCGTCTACCTCCCACATGAAAAATTAAACTTCATTCATGTAATGACCCACAAACACGTAATTGGTACACTGCCAATAAATTTATTTATCGTTTTCATTTTCGCTGTAATCAATTAATTAAAATTTATCATTCAGTAAATAATTGCGTGATTTTCATAATTCCTTCATTCATTCATTTGCGAATGTTTGATAAAAGATGGGAAAAAAAGGCAATGAAATGATTTGATGAATGGATGATTGAGCATTTGATCTTTAAACAGAGAGAAGCATGAGAGGAAGAATTTTCAGTTAAAGATGCTAGCATTAAAGGTTGAGAATCAAAATTTGATTATTTTAAACACTATGCATTAAAATTTTGTTTTGAATTCTAATACACTATGTTCTGTAAGTCATTTATAGCTTGCAATACTACTGGTATTAATCTAAAAAGTTCATAAACCCTGCTCCATACTAGCTTCAACGAAGCATAAATTTCTGAAACACCTTCTTAATTTCTTTGCTTATTTGCAAGGCTTATATCATCTCTGACTCATTGTCAAGAGGTATTCGAGGTACAACTCCTGTCTCTTCAAATTAGGGACCTTAATCTTCTAATAATAAGTGAATAATATTTATTATATTCATGAGGAAGCTATTGGTGTCTTCGAATGAAGAGTATGGCGAGCTGAAGGAAGAAGAATAGTATTGAAGCCGACTTAATGATTAACTATATCAGTTGTTTCGATGTCCACAAGATGCCCCAGTACTTAGAGTTACTTTATAGATTTCAAGAGATCTAGACGAAGACAAAAGAATACCTGGATTGGATGTGTTGAAAAGGACGCTAGAGTCTCAACTATCCTGAACTGACAGAAGATTTCAAAGCATTAAGCTGTCTTTAGACGATCTCCTAACTCGGCAATGAGCTCACGTGCGTCCCAGCCAAAGAAGTAAGTAAATATTCATATCAATCGTTTACTTAAAATCATCAAGATTAAATAAATAAATTGTTTAAAAACTGATGTTTCCAGCAGAATCCTTTGATAATTGAAATCAGCTCAATAGCTATTCATCAGAAGATTAATAAATATTTTTTCAATATTAATATTAATCCAGCAATAAAAACGATTTGGTCTTTTCATCAGTAACCATAACGAGAGTTAATACCTCAAAATAAAATCCTTTCAATCTGAAATAAAAGCCTCATTATTTGACTATCGATTCCGATGCAGAACGTGAAAAAAATTGTGGAATTATTATACAGACCACTGAAACATAATTTCCCGCACAATTCACATACAAACTTTTTTATTCATCCTTTATTCAATTTAGTCCATATAGTAGAATAGTAGATAGTAAAAAAAAGCAAAATGCTGATAATTGCGGCATTGCATGAAAAATCTCATCAATTTATGGTTGGCGGTTTTTGATGTTGATTTATGGCGGTTCACTATATTCATATCTCTACGTCTGTGTACAATTTTTGCTTGCCCTTTATTATCAGGCAAGTGGAAGTAAAACATATAAAAAAAATTGTTTTATGGAAAGAAATGGAAAAATATAAAAATCGCATTTTATTGG